CTCCCACGCTCGCCTCTTGTAATGACTGGATAAGTAATAACTGGATACACCCACTCGCGTAAGCTGGTATGTAGATGGCTTTTATCTCACACAGGCAAAAAATTTGTAGTGATATTTTTTGATGCACGGGAACAATAAATTAGAAAGGACTGAACTCACGTTCAAGAATGGATATTGTATTTGGGTCCAGGCCATTGTCGTCAATCGTCTGCCATGTACGAAGAATATGTGACGGTAAATTTAGAACTAAATTTAATACTGATATAATAATCGATCGCATCACCATGGCTGTTTTCTTCTTCAGATGCATCTGACGCTTTTTATTGAAGTGCTGAAATTACGCAACAGTTGAAGCTACAGAAACAAATAAAAAAACATGTATTGAACCTACAGAAACGAATAAAAGAAACAAGTACTCTTGCAAAAAGATGAGATAAAATGAACTAACGTCTGGAGTTGTTACTGTCATTGACAAACCATTTTGACATGAAATCATGCTCTGCCGTACATCTAGTGAAGTCTCAAAGTCAGGAGAACAGGAATATCTGGAACTGAGTAAAAATTGCACTCGAGTTGCTTTGTGAACGAAAACTTGAAAAGCGTACAAATTCCTTCCTAACACATTTCGGACCACCGTCTGCGAGGTCTCCGCATTATTTTCACTTGTACAGCGATGATCAGTAATTTCATTTCTTTCTTACTTTCGCATAAAATCTGTGAATTCCGTGACAAAAAGCGTGTTCTGTTAGTTTTTGAACATGAAATAGATGATAAATAGACGATATCGAACGGCGCAGAGAAAAAAAAATGTATGACACACAATGGGTGTCGCGCGGCCCGGATCCTATTAATGAACAGCCTTCCTTCTTATCGTGCGCACGGGAGAACCGAAAAAACACTGCTGGTCAACTGTAGCTCCCCTCAAGAAGAGTTCACCACATGTTCAGTAATGCATTCAGACCGTTCCACTCACTCACCCTGTCCCGCAAAAAAAGTGAATAAAACTATTCCGTGAAATAGTCTGAACGATTCGGATTACTCCTATCGGTTATATCTACTGAGTGGGTCATAAGTGGGAGAGTTCCCTCGAAGCCCCCTCCCCCTCCTTCTTCCAGCGATCCAGCGACCATAAAATAGGACACCCTCATCGGAATTTCCTCACCGATGTGATAGGCGCCCGCGAAACAGGAAAAATCAATTGTCAAAAAAATCTTTCAGACGTCCAGTGATCAGATGCGACCCTCTCTCCGCTCGGAAATTCCCCAACGGGGGAAATCAAATATGCCTTTGTGAAGAATTTCTCGAGCAGCGAGGTTTTTTCTCATTTTCGTTTTCATTTTTTTGGCTCAGCAACTAGTGGTTTTTCCCACGGTCTGCAATCAGCGGAGGCTCAACGAGAGTAGAGAGTTGATAAAATAATAAATGAAATAAGCAAAAAAATTGAGTAGCAGGAAAATTCAGTAACCAGGGCACAAACTCTAGTTGACTAACCTGCGATGTTGATTAGGAACACTAAACGCGAATCGCCTTTCGTAAAGCGAAGCGTCAGTCATTGGAAAAGGACTGTAACACTGGAAGAGCACAACGCCGTCGAACGAAATTCTCAACAACGATGGTATTGCGTAGAATAAAGCGATATCCATTAAATGTGCTGCCTGAAAATAGTTCTTTATTGTATTAGAAGTCGGCTAATAAGATCTGCAGTTAATGGGCTAAGCAACAGGGTGTACTTGCCAAATTAAGGATGTTACTGGGGTTGAGGTCGGTCATGGCGATAGGAGGGAATTCGGAAGGGGAGCAGGGTACAGTATAGTGATTTGTGGAATGCTAGTGCCAGCACGACCCCTCCCCCCACCCACCTAGGGGAGGGATGGTCTCGGTACGAAACCTTCCCCAACACCTACCCACCAATTTCCCCACATTTTCCAGTTTTCATCCAGAGGTTTTTCGTCGAGCCGGGGGGAGGGTTTATAGTAAATATGAAACAGGAAAAATCACGCGAAAACCAAAACCGGGAAAATTTTTTCCAAAGCGGCAAATTCCTCTCGAAGCCACATACGATCCCCCCCCCCCTCCCTCCCCAGCCGAAAAGTACGACCTCCTATGTGTTTCACACAACGACCCTGTGGGGGAAGGCGTTCATTGCTAAAAGCTTCCTTACGGCAGGACGCGCCCTAACCGGAATTCTTTCGAACTAATTATCAGAATGAACCGGGTGAAAAATGATTGGCCTTGCACCAAGTTGAGACAACCCAGCCAAGTTTGGATCGCCATTCTATCCATTTTGCTGTGCTCTATTGGGTACTTGCCCTTCAGCTTGTATTTTTATGAAGGCAGTGGCACGATAGTCGGGGCGGGCTGTTACTG